AAATTCTAGAAATCTTGAGATCTAAATATTTCTAGTTTTTAATGAGAAAAGATATAAAAATGTATATTAAAATATATATAATATATTAATAAACTATTATCAAAAGGTATAAACCCTATAATGAGTTATAATCTCTTTTTATTCTTTGTGGATCTTAAAAAGAAATAATTATAGATTTTATTATAAATCTATTTTTATTGAAATTGGGTAAATATATATATAATATGATTTTAATAGTTATTGATAGATTTATAAAGCTTGCCTGATATGTATTTATTAATAAAACAATTATCTTATCAGAATTTATTTAAATATTGATATAAAGTATATTTAAGGATTTCGGGATATCAAAAATATTATTTTAAATAGAGGATTATAGTTTATAAATAAATTCTGGAATAGCTTTCTTTTTTATCTGTAAATATAATATAAATTATTTATTATATTTTATTTTTAAACTAATGGGTAAATAAAGTAATAAAACTAAAATCTAATTTATTATATTAATTATTACTTTAATTACTGATAAAATAATTAATCTTTACTATTACTATTTATAGAATTCATTTATAATATTATATAGTATAATATAATAAATACAAATCTATTTCAAATAATATACAGATTTCTATTAATATTTTATTATATCAATAAGGATATTAATATTATAGGGAGAATACTAGTAGTATATAAATAAATCGCTTTTCTTAATAAAGAAAAGAAAAAATTAAGAGAATTGTAGTAAGTAGTTATAGATTGAAAGTCAAAGGATATAGATAGTATAATAATCTAGTAATACAATATTAGAGATAAAGTAATATTAAATATTCAAAATATTAAGTAATTTTAATCTAAAAAAAAAATTTCGGATAGATTTATAAATCTTTTTTAAGTAATAGGTATAAAAACTAATAATTAAATATATAAACTTAAACTATTATTTATCTATAAGATTTATAATATCTTTTATATTTCCTTATTAAAACTATAGTATAAATAATAGAGTACTACTAATCTATTTCTATTAAAAAAGATAGATAATTATTTAGAATATAAAGTAAAGAAGATTATAGTATATAAAAAAAGAGATAAAGATATTCAATATTTAGTTTAATAAAAAGACTATCAATTAATAAAAAATATATAAAAAGCCTTTTATAATCTCAACAATATAAAAAAAGTATTAAAAGAATATAATAAAAAAGAAACTATCAATATACAATTCAAAAAAAAAAGAAAAAAAGCTATAAGATAATAGGATTTCACTGTATACTTATAAGCAAATTACTAGCAATATAAAACTATTTATAATATTCCTTTTTCTACTTCTTTTTACTTTAATAAAAACAAGAATATAATTCTTCATTTATTAGTATACTGTATATTATTATTAAATATATCAACTTATTTTAATATCTTTGAAATACTTTAGGCTTCAATTTATAAATATCAGAATTAATATTATTTAAATCTTTATTAATATTCAATTAATGAGATTATTATTATTCCTTTTATAAAATCTTATTCTTAATAAGAATATGCTTTTAATTAATATAAGAATGTTATTATAAAGGTATTACTATATTAGTATATTAAAAAAGTTTTATAATAAAAATTAATTCTTTTATTTTATATATCGAAAAGATTTGATGTAAAAAAAAGAATTTTAAAAATAATATTATTTATATCGCTATCACTTTACTCACCCTTATCCACCAAAAATATATCCACTTTATTTTTATTTATATTTTCCTTCTTCTCTATTTTCATAAAAACCTTATTAGATATTTAAACCTTTATTAACTAATTATCAACAATTTATAGGTATTTATAGAATTGAATACTTTCAAGAAAACTTATAATAATATTAGATTTTCTGATATAAATAGAACAATTTATACAAAAACCTTAACCTTTAGTGAAATACTAATATCCTAATATCGAAAATCAAAGAGGAAATTAGTAGTAATCAATACTACTTTTTATTTCAGAACTGTATAAAAAGTTTTATAAAAAGAAAAAATAATTTGGATAATTAAGATTCTAATAATAGATCGATAGGTAGAAGCTATTGAATCTCCAATAACATACTTTTTCGTCTAAGAGATAATAATACTAATATCATTTTTAGAAATATAGAAAATATTAGAATGTTAAGGAGTATCAATAATTTAATAAAAAAAAGAATTATTCTTTTTATTATTATTAAAATCAGAAAAGAATTTATTGGAATATTTAAAATAATCCTTTTTGGATATAAAGAAATAAATGTGGGAATAAAAGTAAAACAATAATTAAGTATCAATATAAGGGAATCTGTAACTCTTTAAATTAACTAATATATTTATAATATCCAGAGTTTTACCTTCTAAAAGAATAAAGAGTGGAATAGGGATATTAACAATACGGGGGTGAACAACCAAAGCTATAAAGTCGCTCTTATTATTCAAATCTATTACAACTACTAGTTTTATAATAAAATCTAGAATAATAATATCTAATATAAGCAAATTACTCTAAAATTCAAGAAATTAGTTAAATACTATTATAAGAAAATAAAGGGTAATTAATAATAATTTAATAAAAGTCTATAAAATGCTTTATAAGATTACCTATTCAATTCAATTTTTTTTATAATAAATAGAGATAATATTTTAAATAATTTTAGCTTTTTAGTATTATTCTATTTATCTTTTTTCTATAAAAAGACCTTTACACTCTTAACATAATACTCATTTTAATATATTATTACAATCTCAGCGTTTTCTTTCTTTTAATTATTAATAAAAATAATCTATCAAAAAACTTGAGTTTGATATAACAAATTAATATCAGAAATGTATTAGAGAAGTATTAACTAATAGATCTTTTTCTGAATACAATAATAGCTATATTTAATATAAGAACTCTTATTATAATAATAGAAATCTTTGGAAATAAAAGATATAATATATTTGAAGTAATAAAAGTATATAAGGATAATTAATTTAGTAGAATTTATTGTAAATCGAATTATAATTATCTAAAGACTGATAGATTAAGAAGCGATTATAATAAAATAAAAATAAATAAAGGAATAATAAGAAATAATTTATTAAAAGAAAAAAGAATTTGGGAAAGTAAAAGGAACTTATAGGACCTTTAGTAATTTGTTAATAAAAATAATAAATATATTAGAATATTGTTTATTAATTATTTATAGTTTTATAATATTTTTATTTTCTTTTAAAATATAATTTGAATATAATCACTCAATATCTTATTCTCTTATATTATACAAACCGAGTTTAGAAGATAAATATATATATTTCGGAATATAATATATAATATAAAAAGCTTTGTTACAATCAATCCGTATAAGAATTAATAAGAATATGTGAATAGTTTCTATAGAATTACTTCGGGTTAATGTCAACCCGCGTATAATTATAAATTATAGAATTTTTATAGTTTAAAAGAATTAATAAAAAGTCTTTATACTACATTACACTTAGTTGATTTATTGCTATTATCTACTCTAACAATATATAATTCTCTATTATATAATAGTATCTCTATAAGTCTTTTTATTATGTTTAGGGTTTTATTATCAAGCTTTTAAAGTTTTGTATTATTAATTTGTATAAGAGATTCGAGGAATAGTATAGTTGTAGTGCTTTATAGGCTTTTTAGATAATAATAATAATATTATAAAGATATTTTCAATACTCTTAGAAGGTTTTATTTTAGGTTAATAAAATTTTATGTAAGGGTATTACTATAAATAGGACTGTATAGATCGATTTTATTATATAAATTTTTTTGAGATTGAAAAATATGCCTGTATAAAGAGGATTCCTGTATAGCCTGTGCCCGTATATCCAGGTTCATCTGTAAATCCTCAACGGTCCACGGAAGTTGGCTTCCAGTCCCGGGCCGGGGCCGAAATATAATCCGAAAAAATGACTGGTCGCTCGGTACTACCTAGGTAATCATGTACATATCATATCAATATTTGGGTCTATAAAGCATCTACCTAGCTAGGTATTCCAATAATGTTATCTATCATAAGCACACAGCAAAACCTTGATATTATCGTCAATCAACACTCGACAGTCCAAGTTAGAACCCAGTAGTACTGGATCAGGACCGGATCAGGACTGCGGAATATCCCCATAGGACTAATAACGATACTACCAACCAAATAACTTGGTTTCAAAGCGGCACAGAACTATCATATCAGACCAAAATCTACTACTATCGGAGACCCCGCATTCGATTCGATAACTTCTCTTCTTCAACTCACACAATGGAAATGTTATCGATTCAGCGTGAGACAGCCATACCTGAAAAAGATTGGCCATTGCGATTGCGATTGCCGCACCCCACTTCTCACTGAATCCCTGTATGTATGTGTATATTTTTTCAGTCAGTCACTTAGCCTTCGTACACGTTGTTCCAATTTGCACGACATTATCTACATCATCTGAATTCTGACCCCATCTCATTTGCGTGTTCGTTCAGAAAGTTCCCACTATTGGGCTGAAACTAGCGACAATTGATAAACATACTTACGAACGATTTTGTTGGCATAAAGTTCATGCCCTAATGCAGGCCCAGGACGCATGAATTGGAAATAGAAGCAGGTCCTAGGTTTCCTGACCAGGCTTGTTGAAAGGCTTGTTGGTGGTGGCGGCACATTCTTTCGTTTACTTGCTCTCTCTGGAGGGTATATTTGACAGGGGAACAGGTAAGGTTATCCGGGGTCGAGTTTGGGGTGGGAAGACCCAACGTGCTTGTGGCCTTACCGCTTCTGTTGTGCGTCATATTTAGTCTTTGCGGCAAGAGATATTGCATTCTGTTTTCGTTCGGACTTAAAAGTAAGTTCGTTCCTTGCATCCTTTGCATCCGTTAGCCCATGCGCATGTGTATATATTCCATTGCGAACCCACATGAGTATGTGACTTTGCATAAGCTATTCAAATATCTGCATTCAACATTATACCTGAAATCTGTCCAGTATGGATCAGAAAAATGATCTTGGGGTCATTGAGACTTCCGTGACTGACACATCACAGAGTCTGAAAAAGAGTAGCAATATGGCTACCATCGAGAACGATGATGAGAGATTGCTGAACAGAATTGGTTATACTCAAGTCAGCCTTCTTCACTGCCCCCGCAATCAATGTGATGCCCACTAACAATAGCGAAGGACCTGCGTCGACATTTCTCCAAATGGTCTACATTGTCCTACGCGGTCTCCGTTCTTGGTGTCCTAGGATCCGTTCCTGCTACTTTTGGAAGCCCATTGAGTCTGGGTGGACCAGCTGCATCAGTATGGGCATGGTTTTTTGGTTCTGTAATGGCACAAATCATATCAAGTTCAGGTTAGAAATCTTCACTTTTGCATTGTAACTTGTACTGATATACTCAAAGTATCTGAATTGGTCTCTGCATATCCGACGGCAGGTGGCATGTACTTCGTTACGAAGAACGTTGTCCCACCTGAACATGCGGCGATATGGAGCTGGATTATTGGATGGTGTAATTTACTTGGTCAAACTGCAGGTGTTGCCAGTGTGGGGTATACCGTTTCTCAGCTTGTTCTAGCAGCTGCGAGTATGAACTCTGATTTTGATGAGGTCACCGGGACATATGCCTATTCACCGTAAGTTGTTGAACAATGTCTGAAGTTTTGTGTACTCATGTTCCGATAGAACTGCACTGCAAACCGCTCTACTCTCATGGTTGATCCTTATAATACTGGGAGTAATCTGTTCCTTAACAACAAGACGTCTTCATCAAATCGTAACTTGGTTCATGCCAATCAATGTCCTAGCTTCAATCGCTATATGCATCACTCTACTCATTCTAACTCCCAACAAACAATCTGCAACATGGGTCTTCACACATTTCACCAATGGATCTGGCTGGGGAACTCCATTTTCATTCTTTCTCTCATTCTTATCAGTAGCATGGACCATGACTGATTACGACGGCACGACCCACATGTCGGAAGAAACTCACGATGCAGCAGCTCGTGGGCCAATGGCTATTCGATGGGCCGTTACCATTTCTGGAGTCGTAGGCTGGATGCTCACCGTTACTTTGTGTTTTTGTGCAACAGATCTTGAGGCTATCATTCATTCGCCCACAGGAATGCCAGCCGCGCAAATCTTCTTAAATGCGGCGGGCAACAATGGTGCAACTGCAATGTGGTTTTTTGTCATTCTCGTTCAATTTTTTACAGGATGTTCGGCTATGCTTGCTGATACTAGAATGGCTTATGCTTTTGCGAGGGATGGAGCTCTTCCTTTTTCAAAGTAAGTTCCCAAGTCTCTGGATTTCCAAACATGCTATTTTTATCATTGCGCCATTCCTCTTCATACCGAAAAGTACTAACAACTTCATAGGTTCTGGTCCAAAGTAAATCCCTACACCCACACCCCTCTCCACTCTGTCTGGCTCATCGTCCTCCTAACTTGCTCGCTCAACACCATTGCCATCGGCAGCACCGCTACCATCGTCGCAATCTTCAACATCACAGCTCCTGCTCTTGACATGTCATATGCGGCAGTTATCCTAGCACGCAACATATACGCCTCGCGCGTGAAATTTATTCCCGGACCATACACACTTGGAATATGGCAAAAGCCACTCAATGCGATAGCATGTACCTGGGTTTTATTTATAAGTATAGTTCTTATGTTCCCAACGGTGCGACCGGTTACGATGGAGAATATGAATTATGCGGTGGCAGTAGGCGCGGCTATTGCGGTGTTTAGTTTGGGTTGGTGGTGGGCTGGAGCGAGAAGGTATGTTGTTCTTTCTCCTTCTTTTATCTGCACAGGATTTGAGATGATACTAATATGAACTCTAGGACATACACGGGACCGAAAACAAAAGATCTCATACAGTCCATCGCGTCGGAAGAAGGAAATTATGAATCGGATGAGAGACCTAACTATGGGAGTATTACCGATCGTTGAAATGGCATTGAGGATGAGATTTTGATACAGGCGTTTTTTGATTTCGGGTCAAGGAGTTGGTGGTTTACAAAAGCGTTTCTTTACTGGATTGAATTGAATGTAGAAGACATTTCCATCTTTACGCATTGAGAAAGAAGGTATATAGATCTAGATAGATAAATACATAGATATATATTTGCATCTTTTAGCCTTCATGGACACGGGATAACATGTTTGTATTGATTAGATAGACCAAGGCCGTAAAAATAAATAGCTCGTTCAATATATAATTATAATTAACACAATCGAAAGATTGATAAAAGCAGAACGAAAAGCTCACCGGCAAGTTACATTACATTACCAACAGAACATTTTCCGCGCGGTCAAATTCCGGCCTTTCTTTCACTAGGTACTCCAGGTACTCCCAAGTTCCAACTCTCAGACCTGACCCCCACGCAAGCTCCAACACAGAACAACCAATCACACGCTTCCTCTAACTGCATTACCATATCGTCTTTCAAGTCGCCCCACATACTATTTGTCATTCCAATATATGTTATAGTAAGTGACTCCACAATAACCAAATCATCACACAGCTCTTGTAACTCAGTGGTAGAGTGGGCGATTGCAGTAACACTCTGATAGAAGTCGTTATTACACGTTATCGCCAAGTCGCTTGTTCGAACCAGGCCGGGAGCTTCATTTTTTGGATTTTTGGATTTTTTTTGCTGGTGTGGATGGGAGGGAGGAGTGATGGATGTGCGGGGTGGATTTCTTTTTTGAAGTGTGTGTTTGTGGTTGAGAAACGTGGAGTATGTATGAATTACTACTTCTTACTTGCCACATATTCGCAGTGTAATTGATTCTTTTGAACGAGTAGTAAGTACCTAGTAATTTCTTGCTTTCCACCTGCGCCATGGAATTGCGATTGTTAACCGAAATCCGGATCACCATTGAGGTATACATTCTGCTATTATATTTCCTTGAAATCTATAGATAGCAATTAGAGACATACGTATATATATGTATATCTATCTATTACAACAAATTAGCTTTCCCACTCTCAATATTCAGCGTACATGTAGATGTTCTTCTTTCATCTATCTACTCATCTCTCTCTCTCTCTCTCTCTCTCTCTCTCTCTCTCTCTCTCTCTCTCTCTCTAACCTCAAAACTCAGCTATACCAACTACGTTTGCGATCTTTCCATTTTTTAATTTCTTAAAAAAAAACCTCTTCCTCTTTTGAATAGTATAGAAACAATAAGTATTCTTAATAAACTCTCTTCATAACAATTCTCTACACCTACTAATTATATATACTACAAATTCCTCCCATCGTCTTCGTCTTCCCTCGCATCCCTTCAACCCATTTCGCAGCGTCGAATTTAAATTTCCCATCGTAAACTCTATATCATATCGTACCCTTCCTAGATTTCTCATTCACTCATGATGTGGTGAAAATGTATTTCCCCCCGTCCCTTGTTTCGCTTTATCACTTTTATATTCCGGATCGATAATTTCTTTTCCTTGATTTTTCCCGCGTCCATCTGTACTTGTCTCCTTCGCTTCTTCGCTGGGACCGTGGGTTTCTTGATAAAGAGTACATGTAATCAGTAGAATCACATCTCAACAACCAAACCAATCATTTCTTCTCATCTTTCTATATATGTACCTAGTTGCACATCTCGCTATATAAACGGAACGGATTATTTACTTTTCTCGTCTGCGTCTTCGAACGTATCGAAAGTCATGGTAATGAAATCTTTTATGTGGGTGCTCGAATGCTTTCTCTGTTCATTGTAGATAGTTCGCGCTGGCGGGCTGAGTTATGGAGATGGTGTTTTGAAGGGTTGTGTGGGTGGGGATGTGAGTTGATGATTGCTTATTGGACCTTGGGAAGGTATGGTGAGAGAGAGATTCGTTGGACATCGGAGTAGGTAGGTAGGTAGCGTTGATCGTGATGACTTCGCTTGAAAGTTAGATTTACTTGGTGAGAAAATTTGAAGGTAGTTGCAATTGAAAGGCAGAAGCTTAATAGAAAGCTCTCTTGACTTGTCAAATCATGTCAATAGGTATGTATGTAATCAATCTATTCTGCCAAACCTAAGCATATTCTACGAGGGTGAGCAATCACATATCGGTATTTTGGTAATCTTTCATGTAGAATGAAGAAAAAGCGGAAACGTCAATTAAAATCAGGAAAATCAAAGGGATCATAAGATAGATTTTGCATTCCGGATTGAATCGATATATTTTGGGTTTCTACGTGAAGTCTACTGAACTTCCGAGCCGAGCATCGAAAACAGGAAACCCTTCTTCCATTTGCTGGCTTTCCATTTTGTCATATCTAGCCCGATAATATATGTGACAATCTCAGAAATCGAGCACGTTTGAAATCACTTGTCTAAGATCCCGAGTTCTGGGTCTGGCCACTAAAACGCGAATCTACATCCCCTCCTTTCTCCCCAGCAATTCTCAGAAAGTGAACCCAAACACCTCCAGAACCTAACGCACATGAGCATTCTGACGACAAAGACCCATAGCACAACTATTATCCGACCATCCCAAACGAAGATCATCCATCCACCAAAGTTTCGGTTCGCCCGCCACCGTCGCATTCATGAGAAAATGCGTTAAATCCCTAAAACTCGGTTCCAAGTCCACGGTTGTCAAAACGCAATTCGCAAGTTCGGGACACGCGGGAACATGGATGATTTGTTGGGTGACTTGAGAGGTCTTTTGAGAAGCCTCGTCGTACTTGTATCCCGTAAATGTGAAATCGCATGAAGGACCCGTGGAATCGCAACCGAGTGATGCTCCGTAGAGATTGAAATTGAAACATCCGGTGAGTCCTTCGTCGCCACTTCTTATTTGCCCTGAGAAGATATGGTCTGCGGTATTAGCGCCTGTTTTTCTATCTGAGGAGTTGGCTTGGAAGTTGGGTATGAATTCGAGGAGGAGTGGTTTTGAAGATGGGAAGAAGGGGAGACGTTTTGGTGGTGGAATGACTGTGAAACCATCGGAGAAGAGAAATTGGTGGTAGGGATTGAATAATGGTTCCGGCTGGACGTCAGTATCGCTTGCGTTAAAGACGGACGATGTTGGGACGTCATCGAACTGTTTGGATGTTTGATTAGTTGCTGGATATTACATTTAGTGAAGATAGACTTACAGTCAATACGAAGTCTCCACGCTCTCCGCAGTTTGTGGGTGTGGCTGAGGAAATGATGCTTGTGGATGTAGAGGATGTTGAGTTGGGGAAAGTGACGGAACTTGATCCTTCAATCACTGGAATGAAAGTGGATGTTGACGCGGTTGTAGACAATGAACTTGATTGGAATGTTGAAGTGGCATTGATTACCGGAATCAAGATTGAGCTTGAAGTAGACTTCGATAAGGAGGAGGCGTAAGATGTTACATTAAAGCCGGAGGTTAAGGTAAAGCTAGGCGTTGAATCTGAGCTAGAGGTTGGAGTATATGTAGAAAGTGAAGTATCCTTAGACAACGAATTCGAGCTGGAGATTGAAGTCGGCAACGAAAATGACGAGGTGTAAAATGTTGCATTGAAGCTGGGAATTGAGGTAAAGCCAGATGTTGAAGTCGAGCTAGAGGTTGGAGTATATGTAGAAGATACAGTATCCCTAGACAACGAAATCGAGCTGGAGATTGATGTCGGCATCGAAAATGAAGAGTCCGAAGTTGTCGAAGTGGCAAAAACAGAATTGAAAGTTTGAGTAGCGGCTTGTGATTCCCTAACTCCAGTCAAAGTAGTCAGAGACCCAGTTGTAACCAACGTAGATGTATTGAAGGTCGATTCCAATGCTGTTTGCGACGTTGAATTCCACCCCCCGGAGTTGGAGGCAATACCGGTAAATATTCTACCTGAAGCTGATTGAGAAACCACAGATATTGGAGAAAAGACGGTATGAGTGGCCAACGACGAAACTGAGTTGAAACTAGAGCTAGCAGTCAATGATGGCGAGGGCTCAATAAAAATTGGTAAAATGGTCGATGGAGCTGAGGCGACTGTCCAAATCCCCGTCGAATTGCCCCCACTACTCAAAACCTCCGAAGGGGAGCCCGAAGGCAAAGGTGTGGTTGTCCAACTCGCCGGTACGGGAGTTGTATATGGTAAAGGAGTGACTAGCTTAATACTGCTCTCAGAGACATCAGGTCTAGATATGGTTAGGCTTGGGACAGAAGACAAACTCGAAAGTGGGTTTGCAGTAGTAGAAAGATTGCTGGCCATAGACGAGAGATTGAAAGAAAGTGTCGAGGTAGAAATTACTGCAGTTGGAAGAGTTACCGATGCGAATGTGGAAGTACTGGAAATGATTGTTCCGTTGGGAGATGCGTAATTTGTACTGGACTGGGAAGAAATAATTGCGCTGGCTGATGTAAATGTAGATTTACTACTAGCGGTTGTGGTTGAAAGTAGAGTTGAGAGAGGAACAATGGTTATTTCTGTGGTGGTTAATGTAATTACCACATTACTGCTGGGTGCTGGCTGAATTGTAATCGGTGAAGATGATTGGGAAGTAGTTGGTAGAGGTGTAGACGCTTTTGTTGACAAAATGACAGGCTCATCGGTAGATGTTGATTTGGTTTCGGTTGTCATTGACGACGATGGAGTTAATGGTAGAGTTGACAGTGGAATCACCGTTTCTGTTGATATGATCACAGACTCACTGCTGGAGGATTTTGTCAAAGAGTACGAAGAGGAGGAAGCCGGAGATGAAGTAGTCGGAAGAGGTATAACAGTTTCTGTGGATATAACCACAACTTCACTGCTAGACGCGGATGTCGATGCAGGTGGAGGTGGAATCGATACAGGAACCACTGTTATAGCACTCGTAATGACGACGAAAGATTGACTTGGAGCGCTAGTTGGCGTTTGTCCATTCAACCAGCTAGTTGTACCTTCGACGACTATGAAGGAAAAGACGTCACTGGATGACTGAGGGATTTGTCTTACTCCAGCGGCGGTCTCAATTGATCCAGTAAATCTTGATGGTTGGGAAGCTTCGATAGTTCGAGTTGATTCCGAAAATCCAACTGACGAATAGGTGGAAAAGGTGGTTGCGAAAAAGGGAGGGAGAGATGTATCTGCGATGATTTGTGCCATGCGGTTGCTTGCTACGGCAGTTGGAAATGGAGCAGGAGTTTCAGAGCAGGGAGCGTAAACAGTGACGGTAGATTCGATGTGACCATACTGAGGAGCTGCAACAGCAGTTCCACATATGGCCCATATTGCGATGAGGAAGTTCAAAATCATGTTGTAACATTTATTGATTACACTGCGATTCTGATCGTCTGAGACTGAATGAGCGACGAAAAGAAGATTGTTGTTTTCGAAGAAAGGCTGAGGGGGTAGAAATTGAAACTAATTTGTTGATTTGTTGGCTCGTTGCCGCAGTGAATTTCAACCACGACGGTATATCCCGCTCGATAAATTTCTTTGGGCGAGCCAATGAGTCCTTTTGGACTCATCATTTTCATATCAATGTTCCTCAGCTTCTTGAATAATGAAAAGCTGAAATCGGCATCAATCCAACGAGACTGCAATGGTGATAACCCTAAGTACATACATAGCATCTTCGTCCTTTACTCCCCATTCATCACTTTAATGACCTCTCAAGATGCCTAATCACTTACAGACATCATTTTATTCTCAGCTCACAATATACAGTAAGCAGAAATAGACCCTCCAGATCCGACGCCAGCTTTCAGTCTCAGTCAGCCAGATATTTGACATTCAAAGCCCAAGATTCAAAACTCTGAATATTGCCTCATCGAATATTTACACACCATTAGACATGTATCGAAGTCAACACTCAAGCTTATCAAAAATCATAAGTCAGATATACAGCAGAGTGGTAAGACCAGTACCTGATGTGTATATCTTAGCACGCAGCACTGATGACTTTCAGTGAACAATGTCAGTAAGATGAGAACATATACTTTCCGTATGTAGCTTCTTCTGCTAGAATTTGAAGTTCTTAATAGATGAATGCGTATGAGAATTCATGGTTCCACTAGGTACTCAAACAACTTGTCCATAAGAGGAGCAGAAAGCAGCAGCTCTGAGAATATAGCCCGGTGGTTATGTTCAAAGGCAGGCCCTCCAACAACTTGAGGGGATCAAGCATTGCACATTGCAATCCAAGACTCCACACGACAAGAAGTCAAGAAGTCAAAAAGTCAAGAAGTCAAGACCAGAAGACTTTTCTTCATGTCGATGAACCCTCTCAAGCGAGACCAAGAGTACGTACGAGTACCTCGAACAACAGATCAACTTATCGAAAACTATCGAGAACGAAGTTCTACTCTAATAAGCATTCCATATCACATCAACACTCGAATCCAAGTTCCTACCTCAAGGAAATCTCATCAATGAATAATCCCCAAAAACCAAAAGATCACATCCTCAAACTCTCACCTTGAATATGCCCCACGGACTACATCCTCTCGCTGTCATGTATCGAATTAGCCCTAAACATTTACCTTACATACCTAGGTAGTATCTTCCTATAATTCCAAAGAGCCGCATCCTCCAATCTATAGTTTCCACAAACATGTGTTAGTACATCATCCACTACCAGATGTAAATGCTGCCTTGATTACTTTCCTACAAGATCACTAACTCAAACCCCAACCTCACAGAAATCAATTACCTATCCCATTACATCTCATTCCACTTACACATCCATCATCACTCATCACTCATCCCTCGTCCCTCAACCTCCCCTTCTCGACATTGCCCTCTTCCCTCCATACATCCCAATCCCCCCACGTCGTCCCAACCCACAACCCAGCCACACCGCCACACCGCCACACCTCTCCTCCCACCTGCACCTGCAACTCCAAACTCCAAACCCACACCAAACACCACCCGTTTCAGCTCATCCTATAAAAACCCCTCCCTCACCTCCCCCCTCCTTTTTAATATATACACATACCTATGCACAACATATGCAACGCAGCTAAGCGCCACCCGTCTGATCTACCGTCTGAGGTATGTGATACCGAAGCGTAGGATGTTTTATCTTACCCGGGTAGTAGTGTGTATTGTGAGATAGGATGACAGGTCGTTGATTTTGTGTGGAAGTTCAGATCATTTGTTCATTCGAAATATTCAGATGGGATGGAGGTGTGGGAAGTGATCGACAGTTGCTTGTGAATTTTCTTTTTAATATTACATTCGTGACATCCAGCGTCCAACTACTCTACACTACAATACAATATAATAAACAAATAGGATATCTATTATGTGTGACATTCGTAAACAATTCCTCAACTCATCGTATCGCATCAAATACATGATGCATATTTCCCATCAAGGTATAATAAGTCATTCATCCGCGCACTCATCCATCGCAGAGTACTAACACCCAATGCATCTGCCCCCATGAAGAAAATAATGTAAGAAAAGAGAAGAAGGAAATAAAACACCTTTCCTTTCCTTTCTACCCAATCCCCAAGCCCTTGCTTTGCCTTACCTATATTAATGATTTTGACTCGTACTCGAGTATCTTCAACCTCTTTTTCTCTGTCCATAAGACACCAAATATCTTGTACCTCCCGGATTCAACAAGAAATCTATGCAATAAATTCAAGTCTCGAGCGGCGTCTCTTTCCATTATTTCCTCCTTTACCTCCTTGTGCATTGGCACCGCTATTCTTTCCACCCTGTCCCTTATTCCCACCCTGTGCATTCGCCGTATTAGCTGCTTTTGCCGAAGTGCTCGCCGTACTAGTTGCTTTTGTAGCTTTGCTCGTAGCACTAGCTGCATTAGCATTTCCCTTGGCAGCTGAACCCTTCGAACTTGCAGCTGCAGCTGAGCTTGCCACCGAGTTGTTAGGCCCAGCAGCCACTGCACTTGCCGCTAAAGCAGCAGCAGCTTGACCACCAGATCCATCATTTGAAGCTGCATTTTCAGTGGTACCTGAACCGGTAACTACGAATTTAGTGCAGTCGTCCGCGGTACCGCGCTGGGCGACAGGCATGATGACTGGTTGATGATTGGATGAAGAAGCCATTGTGCATACACGGTAGTTTCCAGCCGGGAGACCACCGGTCACGACAGCGGAAAGAAGACCATTACCATTTCCTGCGTCGTTGATACCTTTAAAGAAGGCAAACTGGGTGGCGTCGAGAGCTTTCGTGGGGTTCAAAGAACTGCCGAGATCTTGGACAGTGACGTGGGTGTGGCCAATTACTTTACCGCCGGAGAGATCTTGGGGTGCAGCGAAGTAGGTAGAATCCGCGTTGGTGAAGGATCCGGCCACGAGATTTGACATTTGAACTGTGATGTTGAAGGTGGTGTCTGATGGGATGCCTTTTCCACCTGTTGGGGGATTAATGATGGTCGAAGAGACCATGGCGGTCTTGGCAGGAAGTTTTCCCATTGCTATTTGTGATTAGATGCGTGTCTACTAGATCTAGTCCACAGATAACTTACGAATACCGTTACATGATCCTGTAGTAACTTGTAGACCATTTGTCAAAGTTGAACCAGAGCAAAAGTTGATAAAGTTGTTCTTCGAGGTTGCTGATTTCGCTTGTCCAACCTCTGCTGCACCAATTTCTCCTGAACCATCCGCGAATGAACCGCTCTGAATAGCATTTGATGCTAATGTAAGGGATGCATCGTTTCCACTGGCAGCTGTAGCAGCGTCTTTTGTCCCCTTTTGCGGTGATGGAATTGCCGCTACAACACTTATCAATGCAGCTACACTTGCGATTTTGCTGATATGCATTGTTTTGATCTAAAGCTTGGAGTTATAAGTGGAAATAATATTGTGGTATAAATGAATGAAGACCGTCGAGGTGTGAGAGATCGTGAAAATTAGATGCACGGTCAACGTGATCTACTTGACTGGCAAGATAGAATAGAGGTAAATTAAAAGAGAGAAACAGTAAAAGAGAGGAACCCGCCAAAGAACTTTGAACAGAGAGAGAAGAAGAGATTGCTTGGGACGAGGTTGAAGGAAAAGAAGAAGACGAAGCGTCTATACTTATTCTTATTTCTTGGCATTGCGGCATCTGTGAATGTAGTGTAACTTCAAGTGGATCAAGAAAAGGATAGACGGAAGTGATCATAATTCTGCTGCGTATATTGGCAATGGAGATCCCGCTGTTGCATAAGAAGCTTTGAAACCAGACATGAGGTCGAAGTTGTCGCAGCGCGTGGAGTACCTGTCATCTGAAAAAAGAGAAGGAAGTATGTAGAAATATCAGACGAGGATTCTAATCTGGGTCTATACTGATCTCAACTAAGTCGTGAACATGGACTAGCTTGCTTGAAATGGGATGAAATGGGGGAAATGTCGATACGAAGGTTGGCTGTGTTTGGGTTGATTGGAAACCGTTGATGTCTGAAGTGCAAGGGTGGTAAAACTCGCCAACCTTCCGATAAGCATGAAAATAGTTGACGTCTAATCGGATGATCGAAATCATTAGGAATAACAGGAATTCACGATGTATTCAATTGATCAAGGGCAGGAGTATGTATGAGATATCAAATATGAACATCAAGACGTTTGGAATTATGGTGGTGATGATGTGATGATAGCAATGGTAGCAACGGTAGCAATGATTTGTCATCTGATGTCGTTGAAAGAAGAGTTGAAGAGTTGAAGAGTGAATACCTAGTAGTGAAGAGTGAAGAGTGAAGAGTGAAGATGGAGAGTGAGTGAAGAATGATTTTGGATTTTGGGGTCACGATAAGCTTGAAGTGAAGAGTGGATTTTTAATGTGAATACTGCCAAGGTAAGGTCACCGGTGGGTTCAATTGACCCTGAAATTGGTCCTTGCTTCACTACTACCACCACTAGGTACTATAATTAGAGTAATTAAAGTTTGGCTCACCAGCTCAAACAACAAATGCAAGTACACTTGAACACAACATCTACAGCATTTCTTTGGATATAACCTCTCAATCAACTGTACTCACACTCTCGAAGATTGTTCTGTATCTCTGGATGATAATCTAATCATCATGACCTTCACATCAATCACCAAAAGAAAACCTTCTCCATCTTGAACTAAGACTCCGCAAACTACGATATCAGATGAAGCTGCCAACCGAGCTATGCTGAGGGACTGAGTCTCCTTAGCAGCTTACCTACATCCGAGCATCTTGGGGTTTGAAGTTTCAGACACCGAGGATCATAATGATAAGATATCAGATTATTGATCGGAATTAGGGTTAAAGCTGTACTCTATGGCCGCTACGTTGTGTCAACAAGCCGAAATATTGCTTGCAAGACCTT